AACTAGATCAACATGCTAACTAATCCAAGTGTTAGCTACAACTAACACAGTTAATTCTAATTAGAGCAACTAATTCAAGCGTTAGCTACAGCTAGCATAAAGTGTAATTCTAACTAGATCAACATGCTAACTAATCCAAGCTTTACCTACAGATAAAATACTGTCTAATTCTAATTTGAGCAACAAACCAACTAATCCAAGCTTTAGCTACAGCTAAAATACAGTCCAATTCTAATTTGAGCAACTAACTAATCCAAGCATTAGCTACAGCTAGCACACAGTCTAATTCTAACTAGATCAACATGCTAACTAATCCCAGAATTAGCTACAGCTAAAATAGACCAATTCTAACTAGGTCAGCAAGCTAACTAATCCCAAGTGTTAGCTATAGCTAGCATACAGTGGCTAAAATATGATTTGATTCTGATCAGATTAGCAAGCTAACAACTAATACAACTCTTAGCCACAGCTAGCATGCAGTTTAATTCTGATTACAATGACAAGATGATGACTAATCTGAGCGTTAGCTAAAGCTAACACAAAACTATTTTGGATTGGTAGCTATTAACTTTGGTCGTGTCTCAGTGCAAATTAGCCGTTTTATTTCTTGAACTAAGATTGCTAGTTACAGCTAGCTGCTGCTGCTATTTATGCTAAAAAACAACCACATAAATCTATGTTGTGCAAAACTGATGGTGTAAAAGTTTATAAAATAGTGTTTGCATGAACTGCTGTGACTTTTTTTTATAGATTGGAACCGTTTTCAGATGTGAGATGGTGTATTTTTTATGCTTGGACTAGCCGATAGCTTGTCCATCTGGTCAGAAATAAACTCTGAAGCTGTTCAAAGGGTTATCTACAACAGGTGAGACACTGATTGTTCCGAATGGAAAACTTCCCTTCAAAATATCTGAACTATGCATTTAAAAAGGTATTTAAAGAATATGTCTTTAAAAAATGACTAACTACTAAAAATATTAGTAAAGCTTAAAGTTGTTCTCCAGATGATTTTCCTAACTTACATCTTATCTTGGGTAAAAAAAAAAAAAAACGTCTAGAATTAAAAACACAAAAACTTAAAAGTTTTCAGTCATTTCCTGTTTCTTTCACAGTGGATTCCCAGAGTTTAATCTGAGAGAAAAGACGGCATCGTGGGAGAAGATTTGTCTTCTGCTAGCTGAAGCTTTAGGCCACCTCTGATGGATCCCAGCAGAAGTTGTGTCCACAGTCCAAAGCCGACAGCCTGTCCATGTCTGTGTCGCTCAGAGTGAAATCAAAGATTTCTGCGTTCTTCTCAATTCTGTCTGGATCGGATGATTTGGGGAGCACAGGAACGCCCTGCTGCGCCGCCCATCGCAACAAAACCTGGATGGGAACAATCTCTATTAACGTCTTTAAAGCGCTAGCTTAAAAAGAATTCCCCACTGTCAGAGGAGGTAATCCTACCTGTGCAGGTGTACGTTTGCAGTCGTTTGCCACCTCGTTGATTAGAGGGTCAGTGAGCAGCTCTCCTTTTCCTAAGGAGGAGTACGCCTGAAAGCACACTCCATACTCCTTACATAAACTCCTCAGCTCTGGCTGGCAGAGTTGTGGGTGAAACTCTACCTGGAGGAAAAGAAAAGCCCATTCACAAATAAATCCTACATAAGATGTGTGCTTCAGGTTATGCGCTCTCCTTTCCTATATTTTACCTGCAGAACAGCAGGAGGAACTTTGCAGCTTTGCATCAGCTCTCTCATGTGAGCCGGTGTGTAGTTGGACACTCCGATGGACCTCAGCTTCCCCTGACCGTGCAGCTCCTCCAGTGCGACCCAACTCTGAGCTCGGTTACCTGGAATCCAAGGTCAGTTCGAGTGAATCGTCATCGTTTTACTAAAGAGCCGCTTCTTTAATGTGGAGAATAAATTAACCCCTTTTTCATTTAGTAGAATGATCTCGACTGCCAAACGTAAGCCACGATCCTAGGCCTGTCACGATAACAAATTTTGCTGGGCGATTAATTGTCTCAGAAATTATTGCGATAAATGATAATATTTGTAATTATTGTCAAATTTAAGAAGAAATGTTTAATTTGTTTTGCATGTAGTACCTTTTTTTGACCACCGATGGCAATATAAGACTGTTTAGACTGAAGGATGGATACAGGTCTCTTTAAGAAAAATGGGAGGGAGGCCCCTTGACGTGACATGGGCTGTCTCTCTTCGGTTTTCAAAATGGCGGACGCTCGGTGTGGTTTTAGCTCTTTAGTATAGCATTTTTCACACAAAGCTTTTAATAAAAATAAAAAATAAAATCAGTAAACAAGTTCTCAGCTTCTTTTTGCAGAGAAAAACTTTTAACACAAAGGCACGAGTTTCAACAGTTTTTTTTTTTTTTTTTACAAAGGTTGGCCTGTTAGCTTAGCTCGTAGCTTAGCTTCTCGGCTTAGCTGCTTTTAACGATACAAAAACACGATTTTAGATGGTTAAAACAGATTTTAAAGAGAAAGGGAGGGGCCAGTGAAGAGCACCGAGGTTGAGCTTTTTGTCATCCAGTGTCTTCAGTAGAGACACGAAGAAATGATAAAGCTAATAAATGAATATGAGGTCGACAATTTTCATTTATCACGCGATTAATTGATTTATTGTTTATCGTGACAGGCCTACACGATCCGATGTAGAACCAGCAGTAAAACTAAAAGTTGGTTTCTTTAAAACTGACTATAAAACAAACCAAATATTCAAAAGGATTAACCAGCAAGTGTCTGCACTCTAAAAGGGATTTTTAAACATAACATTCGCTCAGCAAATCCTTCTTTTTGTCAGTTTTACAGGTAACATGAAAAATGGTTCAACAAAAACTCTTACAGACTAATAATACTTGACATGAACTACTTTAAAGACACTAATTCGACATTTTAGTGGCTGAAAGTCAATTCAATTTCAATCCAGTTTTTTCATATAGCGCCATATCACAACAAAGTTGACTCAGGGCACTTTACACATACATAGAAATGCCAATTAGTGAAGTTCTCTATCTAAGGAAGCCAGCAGACATGTTGAATCTTCATTTTGTCGCAGCCTCCCATCATGCGCAAGCACAATGGCAACAGTGGAAAGGAAAACCTTCATTTTTAAAGGAAGAAACCTCCAAGCAGAACCAAGCACAGGACAAGCAGCCATCTGCTTTGACCGTCATCTTCAGCACATACCGAGTGTGAAAATATTGCAAGCGATTGTGCTTTACTGTTATTTTCTAAGGTTACATCTCTGTCATCTTCCTGGCATGAAAGGAGGCTGACAAGATGCATTCCATTAAGGACTGCTATGACTTTAAGTCCAAATACTTATTAAATGGTGATGCTTCCAAGGTAAATGGTGATGCAAGTTGCCCTCTACCTGGGTTGCGTTGGTCGGTGACTGGCAGTCCTTGTGTACCAGGCCAGTGGATAAGATAGAGATCAATGTAACCCAAGTTCAGCTGAGACAAACTGTGGAGGGCGCCTTCCATGGCCTTCTCACCCTGATCCTTAGGGCCCAGCTTACTGTGTTAAAACAGAGAGAAGTCTGTTGAGAGATTTGTTAATCTGTGCAACTTCTGTTTTACTTAAAAGTCAATATTAGATATAGCGCCTCAGTTAAAATCACCTTGTTATGAATACATCCTCCCTGGTCAAGCCGTGTTTGGGTAGGAGTTCTCGCAAGGCTTTACCCAAGTCCACTTCATTGCGGTAGACAGCTGCACTGTCAAAAGCCCTGTATCCAGCAGCCAGAGCAGCATCCACCGCCTGAAATACTTCCTCAGGTCCACACAGCTTGTAGGTCCCCAAACCCAGGACGGGCATCTGATGTCCTGTGTTTAGGACAACTGACGGGAACGAAGACATCGGTCAAAACTGAACTACCTGGTCTGCCCAACTCTGTCAAACAGAAAAAAACATTTGAGTCTTTTTTTTTATCATGACCGAAGCAAAAATATCAATTTAATTTTATGTATTTCTTCATGTTAGTCACGTTGAGACACGCTTGTCTTAGTCTCTCAAGATACAAAGTTCAAATGACACGCTTAAACCCACAACTTTACATGCCAGAGTTGTAGTCCAAGATTAAAAATGTCAACGTTACGTCATTTTAGTCAAACTTTGTGCACGTTACGTGCGATCTTATGCAATATTGCAAGATCTTGAGTGATCTGTTAGCACTTGAAGTATGAGCTGAGGATGACTCCCAGCTACTACCACACCAAGTTTTAGCATATCTGGAAAAAAATGTAGCCGAGTTATAGCCAGTTTTATGTTGGTCAAAGTTGATTAGAGCTCACCTTGAATTGAGGTGATTCCAAAAGTTAGTTAGTTGTAAATGTACATCCAAGTTTAACCAAAATCTTAAGATGTATGCGAGATATTTTTCTAACACAACAGACAACCGAGCACACACATGGTAGCATACAATAACCCATGCTAAAGTAAAGTACAAGTTGATGTTAGCATACAATAAACAGATACACAGCTGCTACGCAGTAATTTACACTAAAGCTTGAAAACTGTATATAACAAACCTTAGTTTCAGAATAAATATCCGTAATTTACTTTTCCGACCTTCTAGGACACGCCTGTTAAACAATTAAAAAAACTTCAATTAATAAACCTTTTTTTTTTTTCTTTAAAAACTGATATTTTAAAAGCAAAAACGTAGAAAAAGTCACACCAATGTTGTTGCTGGACAACCTAGCCTGTACTGACGGCTGACGGTCACGTGACAGAGTTTGGGCGGGTTTTTTTTTGCCGTCACCATAGCGACATCAGCCCCGGCGACGCTGATTGGAAAACAAATTAGCCAATCAAAGCAGCTCAAGTAGCACGGAGGCGGGATTAGTGGGTACAGAACGAATCCCGAGGCACCTTGAGAGTTTGATTGACAGTTAGGGTTTTAACCGTTGAAGTCCTGCGGGAGGTTGAAACGAGTGGACGACGAAAATTTGTGGTCGCCATTTTTCTGTGAACATTACGGTAATTTTAGGACCGGGAGAAATAACAGTACAGTATATTTTGCTTTGCGCCGGTTGGTTTGAAAAATATTGTATCTAGTTGGTATTCATAAAAGATAAATTAAATCGTAAATCATTTTAAAATTTGCTACAGGTCAGCCATGCCACTGCAGCCCTTCTCCTTCCCCGTCCCAGAAACCCGTTTTTTAAAGGCCGGTAGTTTCATCTACAAATTCAAGATTAGAGGAGGAATCATCTGCAGGCAAGACAGCATTTACAACTTTTAACTAATCTTTGAGAGTTCACTTTAAGTATTCAATTTCCAAGTATCATTTCTTTAAGCACTGAAGAAAACACCAACACATAATCTGTAAATAGTTAATTATAAATTTCTCAAGGAAACTTTTTAAGCTACCTCTTTTTTTTTTTTTTTTAAATCCAAGTCACATTTCTCCACATAGATTTGATGAAGTAAAAAATGTGTAAAATATTCCCCAATCGTGAATACAACCCCGATCGCTGAAGAATGTTTTGCTGAAAGCTGCTGAAAATGGTTAATTGCTAAACTGTTAACGAGTTGAACAGCTAAACAGGAATGAGCAGAAAGATCATAATTACAAATAAACTGAAATTAGCAGAACAATTAGCTGGAAAACGCCATCTTAAAAAGCTAAATTTAGCGGAAAGAAGCCGAAAGGATCATTAAAACTTGAAATTATTATAAATAAAGTGTTACCGTCATTGTGGTATATCATACATTATGATGAAATTAATTAATTCAACCTTTATTTATACAGGTTAGTCTCATTCTCTTAATTTATTTCTCTTCATTTAACCCATCACACCTGAGATACACCCAGGTGGTGCAGTGGGCAGTTATGCAAGTGCCCGGGGAGCAGTGAGGGCGTCTTGCTCAAGGGCACCACATCATGTAGGCATGCATGACTGGGAGTTGAATGTGCGACTTTCTGGTCCCAAGTCGGCTGCTCTATCAAGTCTACACCATCTCGGCCCTTGAGCTTACAGGCGGTCTCCAGTCCAAGTCCTGACCCTGCTCAGCTTCAGAAATCAGGCGAGACACGGGCGTGTTCAGAGTGGTATGGCCGTAAACGGCTGTAAAATGAGTGTAAAAGTTCAAAATGAGTTTCAAATACTTGCAGAAAGCTTCCTTCATTTTCAGTGGGAAAACCATGGCCGACAAAGCTAAGTAGGCTAAAGGCTAAGATGCAAAAATACGAGGAATGTCCTGAGCGAGCTGAACGTTTTGGTACGTTGAAATGGTAGAAACATTGAGTTGCGTATGAAAGAAAAACGGATCTCGTTGGTGAGAATAATTTATAAACATTTACACAAATTACAGAAACAAGCTTTCGCAATTAGCATTTAATCAACCAATCTCACACAATGCGTTTGTATATATTCAAACTGGACTTGATCTTTAAAGACTATCGGTTTTTCTCATACTCGTTGATTTATTTATTTATTTTTGACCCTCAGAGCCAAATTTGTCATAGCTTTTTATATTAAACAGCTAAAGCTTTTGTTTAACAATGCCAAGGGACATTTAGTAACGATCTAATCAGTACGAAGCTAGAAAACATGTTTTTTTTTTATTCTTATTATATAAAATTTAAATAATAAACGTGACGTGTTGGACATGTTTCATCAGTGGAGAGGAAGTTTTGAAAGGAAAATGCTTCAATCAAGAGATGGAGGTAATAGTAATGCTGTCCTGCAGCCATGTTTGTTTTTGTTACATTAAATGTTTCATTAATTCTTTATGACTTTTTTACTTCTCGTTTTCTTTCAGGACATTATCAGAACAGTTCTTGGTAATCTGGACCACCTGGAGCCCTTTTCCACCACTCACTACGTTGTTTTTCCTTGTATCTTTCACCCGTCATCCATCCTAATCATCGCTGCGCTACCTTTTCTATTCATCACTCGTACGTTTGGTTTTATACGTGTGTTTTGTCTAGAAAACTGTTTGAAATAGTATAAAATGTGCTGATAAATGCTCACGTTCAGAGGTAGACGTTTGTAGCTGTTAACTCCAACAAACCAGACAAGAAGTGCTGGAGAAAAGTGCACAAACACAGAGTGAAGAGGCCGAGACTCTACCCATTCGTTATCATCCTCTACGTGGAGAAGAACACGCACAAAGGTGAGGACAAAAACAATGAAAGCGCTGTAAAACCACTGAAAATGTGACAAGTCACTTTACGGGAGATTCCTTTTTATGTTTATTTCTACAAAGAGAAAGGTGGCTTCTTTAAAAAAAACTATAATGTTATTCTGATTACCAAAACTTGTACATTTATATTTCTTTATAGCTTTTTTTTTTTTAAACCAGTAGAGAAGCTTCAAAGTAAAACTAGAGAAATTGCATTTCCTGCAAAAATGCAGTATGAATGCTTATTGCAGATGAACTTGCTGAAAAACAGCTGAAATTAGCTTAAAAAACATGAAGAAATGAAAGAACAAGCCTAAATTAGCAGAAGAAAGAATGAACACATTTGTTGAATTAGGTTTCAATAACCAGAAATGGGCACAAAAAGTAGCTAAAAAAGGCTGAAATTAGAAAAAAACAACAACTGAAAAGTAGTTGAAAATGCAGAAAGAAGCTTAAGCTACCAGAAGGAAGTGGAATAAGCTGAAAAAAGCTAAAAAAAAAAAAAAAGTGAAGTTAGCTGAAAAAACTAAAATTAGCATGAAAACATCTAAATAGTAGCTGAATGATCAGAAAAAGCTGAAACAGAAAAAAGTTGAAAGGAGCCATAAAAAGCTGAAATTAGCTTAAGAAGTTAATTAGGCTGAAAGTAGCAAAAAATACCATAAAAAAACTTGAATTTATCTGAAAACAGCTGAAATTAGCTAAAAAAAATGTAGCTAAGGTAGAACAAGCTTAAGCAGAAGAAAGCAGAAAGAACATAAATTTGCCCAATTACAGTGAAAGAAGCAGAAATGAGCACAAAATAATGGAAATTATCTGAAAAAAGCTGAAAGGAGCAAAAAAAAAAATGCTGAAACTTAGATAAAAAGGCAGAAAGAAGCTGAAATTACCAGAAGGAAGTGGAAAGAGCTGATTTTTTTTCTGGATGAGACTGAAAAAAGTTTAAATGCATGCAAAACGTGGAATTGGCTGAAAAAGCTAAAATTAGCACAAAAACAGTTAAATAGTAGCTGAATTTGCAGAAAAAGCTGAAACTTGCAGAAATCAAGTGAAAGGGGCATAAGAAGCTGAAATTAGCAGGAAGAAGTTAGAAGAAGCACAAAAATGTTGTAGTTAGCAGAAAGAGTCTGAAAGGAGCACAAACAGCTGAAAGTAGCTGGAAAAAATTGTTAAATTTGCACAAGGAAGCTGAAAGAAGCTGAGCCAGAACAAAATGTGAAAGCAGCAGTAAAAGGTTGGAAACAGCTAAAGATTTGAAGAATGTAAAATGAGCTCAATTCATTATCTATGAAAAAAAAAATGGCAGAAAAGGCTAAATATTTCAAAAAGCTAAAGTTGCACCAATAACAAAAGTCGTAGCAGGATTGTCCTGAAAGAGCCGAACGTTTTGATTTATGATTTGGTGAAATAGCTGAAAAACTGCGGGACGAGAATCACATGGAAAAATGTACTGAAGAAAAATGGATCTCAACAGAGTGAATGTTTCATAAACATTCACACGAGTGTTTCTGTGGTGAAGAGCAGGTTCTGTGGATGTTCTGGGACACAAACATCTAACAAAGTTTTTCATCTTGTTTCAGGGAAGCATCCAGAGGAGGTGAGTTATTTTTATGTTGTTCACATTAAACAACTGGAGTGTTACTATTGGCTTGTATTCAGTTCATATAAACACATTTTTATTTTTAGTTATATTGTACCATATATAATATACTGTATTATATTGCACCATGAATGAAAACATCAACGCTGCAGATTTGGAACGTGTGTTCTTTTGTCCCGTTTCGTATCAAATATAATAAAACACAATCTTATATGCATCTTATGACATAAGTAAGTGTATTAGTGTTACAAATATACAAAGCAGAGCTTTATAAAATGTCTTTATTGTACGTTTTTATGGAAAAGGAGGGAATGCCACCCATCTCCAGAGTTTCTGATGAGCCTCGACCAAAGCGCCGTTGCAGAGACTCGCCACTAGAGGAGGCCGTCTTAAAGGAGTTAACCGACTGTATGGAAGGTGAAAACAACAGACATGTAACCAGGTGAATGTAACATTTACTGAAATTAATCTGAAGCTATCGGTTGTATTCATGAATAGGAGTATTTCAGCTAAAATGTTTTACATTAAACTTAAACCCAACTGTTGTTAAACATCAAACATTGAATAACATGAATGGAAATTAAGATTTCATAATTTGTCAAGTGTATCTTTCTTTGGATGGACCCATTGAAAATATCAGTTTGTGACAGAGTTCCATCCATCCATTCGTCAATCAATCCATCCATCAATCAATCCATCCATCAATCAATCCATCCATCCGTCAGTCAAGCCATCCATCTGACAATCCATCCATTTATCCATTCATCAATTTATCCATCTGTCAATCAATCAATCCATACATCTGTCAATCCATCCTTCAATCCATCCATACATCCGTCAATAAATCCAACCATTTGTCCATCCATCAATCAATCCATCGTCCAGCTGTCCATCAGTCCATCCATCCTTTTGTCTATCCATCCATCCATCCGTCTATCCATTGTTCATCTGTCAATCAAGCCATCCATCCATCCATCCGTTTGTCTATTCGTCAATCAATCCATTTCCCTATCCATCCATCAATCTATCAGTCTGTCCATCCGTCAATCAATCCATCCATCTGTCCTGCCATCCGGCAATCAATCGATCCATCCTTCAATCAATCCATTCATCTGTTTGTCCATCCATCCATTTATTCGTCAATGAATCAGTCCATCAATCAATCCATCCGTACGTCCAACCATCAATCCATCCATCTTTCTATCCATCCAACCATCCAGCCAACCATCACAGGCACAGACATCTTTTTCCAAAGTAACCCAACATTTTCAAGACATTCCCCAGCCAGCCAAGAGACATAGTCACTCCAGTGCGTTCTGGGTCTTCCAGGGGGTCTCCTCCCAGTTGGACATGTTTGTAGCACCTCCCTAGGAGGCGTCCAGGAGGTATCCTAGCTAGATTTCCGAACCATGTCAATGGGTTTCTTTTGATGTGGAGGAACAGCGGCTTTACTTCAAGAGCCCAGCTACCTTACAATAAATAAATAAATTCAACTGCTTGTATCCACAGTCTTGTTCTTTCAGTCACCATCCAGAGTTTGTGACCATAGGTGAGGGTAGGAACGTAGGCAGACACCGACACTGGTAAACAGAGAGCTTCCTCTTACAGCTCAGCTCTCTCTTCACCACAGCTGACCGGCACAGAGTACACAACACTGTGGAAGCTGCACCAATCTGTCTGTCCATCTCCATTCTTCCCTCACTCGTGAACAAAACCTTGCGATGCTTGAACTGCTCCACTTGAGGCACGACCTCATAAAATCATTTATTTCTGTTTACCACTTAATTCTGAAATCTCTAGCCCTTTAATGATGGAGGTTGTCACTGTTTTACTGTGACCCATGGTGCGGAGATGAATCTGAGCCTTACGCCCTTGAATGTTTAGTTCATTAAGAAGTATTTCAGAGCAGAATGTATCTGCTCACTGGATCCAGAAAGGCATACATTTTAATGACCTTAGTTCCATTTAAACTCTTCACTTGTACAGGCAAGATGGGAAGAATACCCTTATGGTGGCCAGCCCCTGTATGACCACAAGTAGAGGAGGTTTTACAGTGTTTTGATGCCTGATCAAACTCGTTCTGATGAGCCTTTTCCTTCTGTCCAATGTGCAAAATACTGGGATGCTTTGGGCTGCAGTGTTTTCAAGTGATGAGCTTATCACGACTCTTAAATGTCCTGTGTTCAGGCAGCCAAAACATAGACCCTTTTCCTTTAGAAAGTCTAGTTTTTCTCTGTGACCTTTTTCCCAATTGCTGACATTGTTCCAATGCATGACTATCCTGTGCACAATACAGACAGGGGAAGGAGTTTAATCTGTTAACGCACATTTCATTTGAGAGAAGGCAGCGTACATTCATCATTAACAGAAACATGGGTGACAAAGCCGTTTCTTTTAAACTGGGACCTTTGAGGTTTTTGCTAGGTCTTGCGATTCCCCTAGCAGGCTGTATATTGTGTTTATCTCCAAAAACTGGATCTGATATAATCCGAATCTGATGTTCAATAAAATCAACAATATCTGGGAAACATGCTCTTTGACCAGTTCTCTCAAAAATCTCATTTGCCTGAAACTTTTGAACCAAGATTCTCATGTTGGCTGGCATGCTTAACTCCTCTAAATACTGCAGTTCCTCCATTGCATTGCAACATTCACGAAGGAACAGTCCGAATGCTTTTAACGCTTTAGCATCTTCACCTTTAATGTTGGGCCAACCCTTGACTTGTTCCATGTAGGCTGCAGTAATATTAAACTCATTGCCAAAGTGTTCTTTGAGGAGTCGCTTGGCCGCAGCAAATCCTCTTTCTGCAGTCATGTGAAGGCAACTGCGTATGAGGTCTCTTGGTTGTCCCCTGGTGTATTGTTCAAGGTAGTACAAGCAGTCTCCTTTACAAGTGGTCTTTGCCTCCACACAATGTTCAAAGGCTTTCATAAAGGAGTTGACCTGTAGAGGATCTCCATCGTAGATGGGAACTTCTCAATGTGGTAGAGACTGGCTTGTCTGCATTTGAACCAGAAGAGCTGTGATGTCATTCTGTTGTGTCAACACACTGTAGAGGTCTCCAGTAGGTTGCTTTTGATTTGATGGAAGCTGAGTGTTTTGAGAGGCAGTATTCGTTTCTGGTAAAGTAACTGAATATTTAGAGCTTTGGACAGCAGGGGGAGCCATTTGTGACACAAAAGTAGTCAAAACGGTGTCACCCACTTGAGCTGGGATACGTCTTTCATAGGCTGCGTTTAGATCTGACACAACCTTTTATCAAACAGCAGTCCAGCATTCTCATGAAGCTTCTGTGAAGTCTTGGTAATAAGTTGTGTGAAATGAGGAAAGTAGGTTTTACCTTGGGTTTAGCACCTTTTCTAACATATGAGTCCATTCCATCAGAGTGCTTAGATGTAATGCTGCCTTTAGTGCTGCCCTCTAGCACTACTAGCTTGCCATTAGCGGCAGCTATTTTGGTTGTTCCCTTTTTTTCTTCAACAGGTATTCCTGCTCCTCCAGGGCACGCTTTTCCTTTAAAGCAGCTGCACAAGCCAAGAGCGCAGCCCTTTCTGCTTCTGCCTTTATTTGTTCAGAAAGTACTGAGTCTGCTTGAGGAGGAATTTGTAATAGAAGAACCCTTTTGACTCCCAGGTCTCCTGGAAAATCTGAATGAAACATTTGAAATGCTGTCATGAGGTTCAATCTGCAGCACCTCCATCAGTTCACCACTGGCAGCCTTGGGTTCAGCTTCATTATTAATTTTACTCTCATTCTGTTTAATATCATCAGGTACTGTGGCTGAGCAACCTTGAGCCTCAGACAACCATTTATGAGTAGCAGCAACAAATTCATGAACATTTTAGCTTGAAACCATACATCATGCTTCTGTGCTTCATCGACAGGCAATAAACCCAACAAAACCTTGTGTACATTGCACGTTTCTTCAGACAAACCCAAAAACCTTTGAAATTCTTCCTTAATGTCATTTACACACTTGTCATTTTTTAACACAGTAATGGTTTGTCTTAATTTTGTAAGCTTATTTAACTTGGGTTTTCCTTTCACCTTCTAAATTATTTTCATCACCAAAGCTTTGGCTGTTCATTTCACCTCTCTTTTTTCAGTCTCCTTCTGAGCCCTTTCCTCTCCACCCACACAGTCATTTTGATCCCACTGATCCACATCAGTTTGTTCCTTTTCTGCCATAATGGCTGGAAGTTTTGTTTATTTATAGAGAGCTCTCTCTCTTTTTTTTATTTTTATTTTTAAAGCAGTCCTGAGCCTGCTAGCAATGCATTGGATTTGAATATGAACCTTTGTGCGCACACATAATTATAATGGCCATTCATAGACATCAGTGCTGACTCACAATGGTGCGATCCATGCAGCTCCAGTTGGCTCCAATTCCAACACCAGCTGACGTCTGGTTCCCCTGCACTCTTGTGGCACCGATTCCAACTCCTTGTTCCCTTTTGTCGTCGTATTCCTTTTACCCGGCGGCTCCAATAGCCTCCTCCGGTGTGGGGTTTACTTCACCACTATGTTGAAACAGCGCAGCAGGATTGGGGGGGGATCTTCTTCCAAATGAGGCAGTTTTCTACCTAATTGTAGCAGCTAAAATCCTATATTTTAGGCTACTGGTTGCTGTTGTTCCTGGTAGGCTTTGGTTTTACGTGCGCTCAATCAAGATTCACTATGCAGATCTTCATTTCGACTTATAAATCATAAAATCATTTATTTCCCTCACAATGTCTTTACATTGCCATTCCATTTAGAAAACAAATGAATCTGCCTTGACTCTAAACCACGCACAGTAGAAACTTGTTTGCCCCTTCTCATTAGCAACACCAGAACAGAATCACACCTGCCCTTAAGTTACCACCTGCTTCTGCTGACATATTCAGTACGCAAAATGAAATACACCCTCTAGTGGAGATAAACAGAAAAACAAGATAAATGGCTCCTACAATTACAATACAGTATACCATACCATACCACTTTATTTATAGAGCACTTAAAACAGCGACAAGGCCAACCAAAGTGCTGTACGGAGTCTTTCCTTCAGTCAGCTCACCCTCTAATCTAGAACGTTACATGTATATGAATGTTTCTGTTCAGTGCCCTGTGATGATTTCTGTTGTGATTTGACGCTATATAAATAAACTGAATTAAATTGAATAGATCATCAACTGGTGGCTCACGGGCCAAACCCATCGCACAGGCTCATTCTGTTCAATCGGCAATGTATAAAAATTATAATAAATCCAACAGAAATCAGCACATCAGTCATTTGGCTTGTACATGATCAGATTCAACTTACACACTGATACACAAGAGCATTTACAGCTGAGCGCACTGCTTTTTTAGCTCAGTAGGATGGTCCTGAAACCATCCTACAAATCAATTCCATCTTAATTTTTCGTTTTTTTAACATCAAACAATGTTAAGGTGTAGCAATAATAAACGGTTTCTTGTTCCTGTTCCTGTTTGTAGCACTTTACACCACTTTACAATGTACTGGTAGCTGTTTTTTATTTTGTTTCGCTTTTATACAATTTATTCTATTTACTTTCATTGTATATGCTTTTTATATGATTGTCAATTGTGCGTACCTCATCTAATAATAATAATAATGAATTTAATTTGTAACGCACTTTTCATTAACAAAAATCTCAAAGTGCTACAGAGTGCAACTAAAATCAATGATAAAATCAACTAAAATCAGTGATACAATCATGTGGAGGCAGAATAGGCTTGCTTAAAAAGAAAAGTCTTTAAGCCTTTTTTAAAGTCAGTCAATGATTGTGGAGCTCTCAGAAAGTCAGGGAGGGAGTTCCAGAGGCGGGGGGCAGCCACACAGATTGCCCGATCTCCCATGGTCCTTAATTTAGTTCGTGGAAGGTGGAGGAGATGACTGTTCTGTGATCATAGGGACCGGGTGGATGAATATGGAGCAAGAAGGTCCTTCAGATAATCTGGTGAATTTCCGTATAAACACTGATGGGTGATGAGAGCAATTTTGTACTGAATTCTGTAGGTGACAGGAAGCCAATGGAGGTTATGGAGAATGGGTGTAATATGTTCAAATTTACGAGCTCTCAATAAAATGATTTGTTTTGAATATATTGAAGCTTCTGAAGGTTTTTGCTGGGTATTCCAGTAAACAGGGAGTTGCAGTAGTCGAGCCTGGATCTCATCTGTGTTCTTTGTTTAAAACAGGTCTCTCTTGAAAATGAGTCCTCAATGAGACTAACCTGTATAAATAAAGGTTGAATGAATGGGTGACTTCATATCATCCAAACCTTTACATGTGTCAAACTCGAGGCCCGAGGGTCAAATTTGGCACTTGTAAACATTTTATCTGGCCCCTAAGAAGATGTTTGAGATGCAAGGTATTTTTTTTTATCACCTCTCATTTTGCTTAAAAAACAAGCATACTTAATTTAGTGCAGACTTCTCAACACAGTTGGCCGACTTTGAAGCCCAAATGTATTTATTTTTTCAGTAATCTTTAATTTTGATGTGTAAGGAGCAACAGAGAACGTCAAATGAGACTCTTCAAACTCTTGATGAGGAACTTTCCACCAAAATGATGTCTTTTTTTTTTTTACTTGAGTTAATGTATTGATTGAAACTTAGTTTGAACCAAGTTTTTAATGTTGGACCCCGTTTGTAACTGAGTTTGACAACCCTGCATCTCGTCATTATTGGCTTCGTCTTGGATTGCAATGAGGTGTAATGTGCTGACAAAAACATGGGTGTGTAAAGCTGACATTATCTGTTTCCTATCTTTCATTTTAATGTCAACACATTGTGTTTCTGCATCAATCAGCTGCTTGTACAGATTAACAGCATCGTTCAGTTTCTGTCCAAACGCTCACATGTTCATTGATGAACATTTTGTTTTACACACAAACACGCTTCAGCGACTCTTGCTGTCATGAAAGAGAAGATTGCTTTATTTCTTTTCCAAAAGGGAAATTTGCAAGAAATCATACAAGAGGCAAACGGGCGCCACCTCAATCACTCCGACTGTCAGCTCACCGGGGCGTAAATGATTATTTCAAACGTGCACTCACGCATAAACAAGCTACTTCAGTTTGCGCTGAACTTATGTAAACTGGAGCTTCTCCTTTTCCTACCTGCACACGCCCAGAGGCACAAACTGTGTAAACATCCGAACAAACGGCACGGCCTGCAGCGATAGTAGCATTTAACAGGAAACTATTCCTTAATATTCAGTGATGCTACACAGAAAAAACCCAAAGGTTCAAGTTCAGACAACGGTTACAATATAACACACACACACACACAGTCAAGTCTGTTTCCAGAAGCTTCCTGCTTCATCGCTGATGTGTGTCTACATGAAGCCCTGGAGCCACGGATGATTCACTTTTATGTTTAACCTGCTTGAAAGATTGGAACTGAAAAGGATGAGTTCTAGAGACCATTCTGGGGTTTTCTGCTTTTTAATGCGTTAGGAGTGCCTTTTAATGATTTACTGTTTGGCAATGAGGGGTGTCAGTGGTCATTGCAAGAGAATTGATGACCACTCCACTGGCCAGTTTTGCTTGATGCACATTTTTAATTTCCTCCCAACACGAATGAAGGCAAAAGCCTACTTCTTTCAGCTTTTCCCTCTTCAGGGGTCTCCACAGCGAGTCATCCTCCTCCTTCTCACTCTGTCCTCACTCCAACTACCTCCATGTCCTCTCTAACTGCATCCATATATCTCCTCTGTCTTTTTCCTGGCAGCTGCATTTCTAACGTCTTTTTACCAATATTCCCACTGTCCCTCCTCTGGACATGTCCAAACCATCTCAGTCTGGTCTCTCTAACTTTATCTCCCAGTTGTTCAACCTGTGCTGCACCTCTGATGATCTCATTCCTAATCTTATTCATTCTTGTCACTTCCAAGGAGAACCTCAACATCTTCATTTCTGCAACACTCCAGTTCTTTCTCCTGTCTTTGTTGTCAATGCCACTGTCTCCAAACCATACAACATAGCTGGTCTCACAACTGTCTTGCAAACTTTTCCTTTGACCTTGAATGAAGGCTAATGCAAAAAAAGCTAAACTTGACACAAAAACAAAACCCTAACTCAATACCATGCAAAACCGAACAGGAACCAATGCAAAAACCCAACGCAAAATGATTTAAAACCTAACATGAAAGAAGGCAAAAACCTAACAAGAAGGATTGCAAATACACAACTCTAAATAATTCAAAACCTAACGTTTAAATAATATACATATTTCTAGTCCTCCTGAAAAAGAATCATCTGTCTAAATCCCATGATCTCAACATTAGGATGCAAGGTCTCAGGAGGATTCATAATATATCCATCCCTCCCTCCACCTACTGAAATACCCCATGGTGTTCCTAGACCGGAGAATATACACAGTCCCTCCACTGAGGTTAGGGTTAAAACGTAGACAGATCAGTAAATCAAGAGCTTTGTTTTTGAGTCACGTCTTTCTTCACCGTGACCAACTGACACAACACGCTCAATACTGAGGACAAGGCTCTGAGCCGGCAGTTCACCTCTCACTCCATCTTACCATCACCCAAGACCACAAGATAAACAAACTCCTTCACCTGAGGGCTAACTTTATTCCTCGTTCTTGCAAATTAAAGATCTGTTTACTGTGCCTTTGTTTCTGGAAACCATGACAGTAAAGTTCTGTTCTGTTCTACAGCAAAGTGGATTTGGACTATGAGTGCACAGAGGAAGAGGTCAATGAAGATCCAACGCTTGTTGATGAGGTGATGCTTTTAACTGATTTGTCATGTTTTTTCTGCTTCAGACCAAAGAGTCAAGCTTAGTATTATTTCGATTTATCTTCTTCTGATTATCCTTCATCCTGTTTCCATCTCATTTCATTTCCTTTTTAATGCGTTTATTAATAGGTTTACACTCGTTGCATTGCCATCTTTCTTGCAGCCCTCAGGCTAGCATTAGCACAGAAAGGCAGGATAACAAGGGTGATTATGGGTAATAATGGCATGACATCAGATTGTACGAGTTAAAGTTTAGTTGTGTGTACGTGAGTGTGTGAGTGTTTCTGCTGATGTGCTTCAGTCTGATTAGCAACTAAGTCCACAAATTACCCTCCTCCGCTCCGTCACGTCCGTGGACTTTCATTTAATCTCATCCTGTGTTCGTACACTTTGTCCGCTCAGATTGATTTCCACCTTTTCAATCTCGAGATTTTTTTATAATAGCATTTGTAGAAAATGGTAAAAATGACGCAAACTGTGAGTTTTTATTTACTAAGGAGGACAAACGAGGACAAATCTGACAGTTTTTAAATGGAGTAAGTTTGAATGTGTTCAGAATAAAGTGTGTCGCAAACAAGTTCAAGAGAAAATATTGAACACTTTTATAACTTCCTATTTGCGCAGCCTACTACAGCCTCATAGCAGCTTCATTTATACTCAGTTACAAAAATGGATTCACATTTTCTTTTAGTCTATATAGTTTTAGTTTATTAACGCTGATCTCTTACTGAGATAACTACTACTATCTACTGGTGGTGCTATGCAAAGATTTTAAACCACCCATACGTTCTTTGTATTTTCATTTTTCAAAGGAAGCAAATGTTCACACAAATTTTCCATCAAGATCAACACATTTTTTTCATTTTTTTAAAATCTGTTTCTTTTTATCCAATAACCTGGACATTTTCAGAATAATGAAAATCCATACATTCTCTTCCGCTTATCCGGGGTCGGGTCGCGGGTGTAGCAGCCTAAGTAGGGAGGCCCAGACTTCTCTATCGATCTCACGCTCCATTTTTACCTCATTCGCGAACAAGACCCCGAGATACTTAAATCCCTCCACTTGGGGCAGGACCTCCTCCCCGACCTGGAGAGGGCACTCTACCCTTTTCTGGCTCAAGACCATGACCTCGGATTTGGAGGAACTGATCCTCATCCCGGCCGCGTCACACTCAGCTGCAAACCGCTCCAGCGAAAGCTGTAGATCACAATCTGATGAAGCCAACAGGACCACATCATCTGCAAAAAGCAGAGACGCAATCCTAAGGCCACCAAAACGGATCCCCTCAACACCTTGGCTGCGCCTAGAAATTCTGTCCATAAAAGTTATGAACAGAATCGTTGACAAAGGGCAACCTTGGCGGAGTTCAACTCTCACTGGGAACAAGCCCGACTTACTGCCGGCAATGCGGACCAGGCTCTGACACCGGTCATACAGGGACCTAACAGCCTGTATCAAAGGGCTTGGTACCCCATACTCCCAGAGTACCCCCCACAGGGCTCCCCGAGGGACGTGGTCAAATGCCTTCTCCAAGTCCACAAAGCACATGTAGACTGGTTGGGCAAACTCCCACGCACCCTCTAGGACCCTGCTGAGGGTGTAGAGCTGGTCCAGTGTTCCACGACCAGGACGAAAACTGCACTGCTCCTCCTGAATCTGAGGTTCGACTATCCAACGGACCCTCCTCTCCAGAACCCCCGAATAGACCTTACCAGGGAGGCTTAAGAGTGTGATCCCCCTGTAGTTGGAGCACACTCTACGGTCCCCCTTTTTGAATAGGGGGACCACCACCCCAGTCTGCCAATCCAGGGGAACTGCCCCCGATGTCCACGTAATATTGCAAAGTCACGTAAGCCAACACAACCCTACAACATCCAGAGCCTTAAGGAACTCCGGG